GGGCTCCTTCCCAAGGTCACATCAATCAATGCTGCATGCAACACCTGACCATTCAAAGGGCGCAAGGTTTCATTCTTCACCAAGCCCCGAACAACTAGCTCTCTGTTCGCAGCCCAGTTCACTTCCTCTCTCTTCTCTGAGCCACATAGACATGAAGCTCATGTTACCACTATCTCAAGAAGACACTCTCAACAATACTCACCATCACCTCGTCATTATCGCAGATGTTCTCGATCACCTTCATACACCAGACGCAGATCTTGCTCACCTAAATCGCCTACGCGCTCATCTTCTTCTCAATATCGTCACGATTACAGATGATGGTACTCACCTGCATATTCATCTTCTCGTTACTATCGTGATCATCATCGCTGCCGTAGTGACTATCATAATGAGTGACGATACTCTTCTGGACGTTCTTCTTTCTGATCTCTACGACGCTACTGGTATCGCTCTCGTGACCGCTCCAGAGTTCCCATGCCACCAGCCCTTCCATTCAACCCTCTACACTGTCTGCAAATGTGCCTCTTCCTCAAGCACGCTCAGAACCAGTGTAGCTAGTGACACCGGAACAGCCACAACCGCAGGAGCATCCTCAGTGGACCATTCTGCTGCTGCTTCCTCTCTGGATGATGCGGTGTTCCCTGGTGGTTCTTCTCTAGTAGATGACGCTCATCAATTTCAGGAGCTCTTTAAAAGAGTGGCAGAATCACAGGACATGCATGTAGCGGAGGTTCAACAAAAGCAACATAAGAACCTTCAAAAATCCCCAAAATCCAAAATGGCATTACCTTTTGATGAGGCAATCCTAGAAATTGCTGACGATATATGGCAAACACCGGCGTCCTCTCAGCCCACTCATAAGAGGGCAGATGAGAAATATTTTGTTCCCCCAAAGGGATGGAATTTCTGTTTATGCACCCTCAGCCGAACTCACTAGTTGTGGATGTGGCTCAGCAAAAATCCAAGATGCCACAACATAGGAATGCTGCTGCTGATAAAGAATCTAAACGCTTAGACCTTTTTGGACAAAAAGTTTATTCTTCAGCTACACTTATACTGAGAATGGCGAACTATATTGCTCATCTGTCTAACCATAGCTTTGATAATTATTCAACGATGGTACCAGTTTTAGAGAACTTGCCCGACGACAAATGGCAGCTCTTAAAATCAGTTATCCAGGAAGGCTATACGGCCTCAACAACGGCCTTGCAAATTTCCCTGCATATTGCCAATGCAGCAGCATGGGCCATGGCTACGTCAGTGGTTATGAGGTGGTCTTCGTGGTTACAAATGGCATCCGCACCTAAGGATTTACAATCTAAGGTAGAAGACCTGCCCTTTGGCAGGCAGTCTATTTGTAGAGAAAACAGACCAAGGTTTGCACTCTGGGAAGGATTCTGGAACAACCCCGAAAATGTTAGGGATGTATACACCCTCCATATCGTCGCAAACAGTATATACCCTACTCCCAACAGAGGCCCTTCTCGAATGGAGCGCCCAGATTCAGACAACAGGACCATCCACAACTGCAACAACATCCCAGACCATGTCAACAAAAGCGAAGACCGCAAACTGGACAAAACCCTAATTCCCAAAACAATAGACAGCAAGTTTGATGGTCCGATCGAGGGATTGAGAACCATTCCACTAATATACGACCTGGGAACACAGAAGTTATTCCATCACCGACTAAGACTGTACTAGTACAGATGGTTTGCCATCACCACAGACCGCTGGGTACAGGAGTTAATAACATCAGGATACTCCATCCCTCTTTTTTCCCGTCCCCCCATCTCCCTTCCATCCTCGTCCTTTTTCACAAGAATCTCCTAATGCAAGAGGTTCTCCGTCTCATAGAGATTGGTGCGGTGGAGGCAGTACTTGATCAATTTTGGGGCAAGGAATTTTACTCCCGCTATTTTCTCACCGAGAAGAAATCGGGAGGATGAAGACCCAGTCTGGACCTTCTCAATCTCAATCAGTACCTCAGGAAGCAGAGATTCAGGATGGTAACTGTAACGTCTATATTCCCAGCATTGAACAAAGGCGATTGGTTCACGTCCCTCCATCTGCAAAATGTGTATTTCCACGTGACAATACACCCAGCGCACAGACGTTTTCTGAGGTTCTTTATAGGCACACAGCACTTTCAGTACAAAGTCCTCCCGCTTGGCCTTTCCTCCACAACCAGAGTTTTCTCAAAGACCCTCGCGGTGGTGGCAGCATATCTTCATCGTCAAGGCATAATGATCTTCCCATATCTAGATGATTGCTTGATCAAGGCTCATTCGTTCGAAAGTGCACTGTTGCCCACTCAAGTCACAAGAGACTTATTCACAGATCTGGGCCTTGTATTGAATGTCCCGAAGTCCTTGCTTGTACCACACAGATCCCTCGTGTTCATTGGGGCATGGTTAGATTCTATAACGGCCGAGGCCTATCTTCCTACAGAAAGATTTTACAAAATACAGAACCTCACACAAACGCTGTACCTGAGCCCAAAAGTGTCAATACTTACCTGTCTCCAACTCTTGGGAAACATGGCAGCGATGACATATGTTGTACAGCATGCCAGACTACGCCTCAGGTGCCTGCAACTTTGGCTGGTGTCCATATA